GGGAGAAATATCAACAACCTCCGATATGCAGATGATACCACTCTGATGGCAGAAAGTGAGGAGGAATTAAGGAACCTTGTAATGAGGGTGAAAGAGGAGAGTGCAAAAAAAGGTCTGAAGCTCAACATAAAAAAACAACAAAAAACTAAGATCATGGCTACTGGTCCCATCACCTCCTGGCAAATAGAAGGGGAAGATATGGAGGCAGTGACAGATTTAACTTTCTTGGGCTCCCTGATCACTGCAAATGGAGACAGCAGCCACGAAATTAAAAGACGCCTGCTTCTTGGGAGGAAAGCGATGACAAACCTTGACAGCCGCCCTGAGTAGATGTAATCTGGAGGCGCGGGGTAAAAATCGAAAAAATAAATAAAATAAAATAAAAACAGCATCTTAAAAAGCAGAGACATCACCTTGCCAACAAAAGTCTGAATAGTCAAAGCTATGGTTTTTCCTGTAGTGATGTATGGAAGTGAGAGCTGGACCATAAAGAAGGCTGACCGCCAAATAATTGATGCTTTTGAATTGTGGTGCTGGAGGAGGCTCTTGAGAGTCCTCTGGACTGCAAGGAGAACAAAACTATCCATTCTGAAGGAAATCAACCCTGAGTGCTCACTAGAAGGACAGATCCATAAGCTGAGGCTCCAATACTTTGGGCATCTCATGAGAAGAGAAGACTCCCTGGAAAAGACCCTGATGTTAGGAAAGTGTGAGGGCAAGAGGAGAAGGGGACGACAGAGGACGAGATGCTTGGACAGTGTCATCGAAGCGACCAACATGAATTTGGCCCAGCTCCAGGAGGCAGTGGAAGACAGGAGGGCCTGGCGTGCTCTGGTCCATGGGGGTCACGAAGAGTCGGACACGACTAAATGACGATGAGACTTTCTGATGGTATGGTGGCCTGCCTACGTTGATAAATCAGTTCTGGAAGTCAGCAGGCTGCTTGCCTTACTAGAACTGTTTGGATATGTTGTGTTCTTAAATAGCTCTACCAGCTGTTGGATAGCTCAATGGTTGAGGTCTCTGACTTCAGATCCAGACGTTGAGAGTTCGATTCCCCACTATGTGCTTCCTTGACAGGGGGTGGACTTGATGATCTGTAGGGTCCCTTCCAGCTCTGCAGTTCTAAGAATCAAGGTACAACCATCGGTTGTATTCTACCTGCTAGAGTCTTCCTGGCACTCCTCTAATAAGTTCTATCCAAAGCACTGGTTCTGAATGTGTAAATGGGGAAGATGAGATTTCTACTTCCTCTGCGTGTAGGAGTCAGCGCAGGACAGGAGAAAAAGCAGCAAACAACCTGGAACCAGAGGAACTTGTCACACATTCCTGTTGTCTTCCCAGTGTAGGAATCGCAGCTATATTGTCGCGAGGAATGCGACTGTGACAGCTTGGGTAGGGCCTCTGTACAATTTGGCCTCCTTTGGAAGTTGCAGGAGGAGAGGGTGGTTGAGTCATGGAGAAAGTATGGCTCTTTCGTAAGAGCGTGGAGCTGGGCAGTGTTGTTTTGGTGATGAACTAGAAGCACACCCTGAGCCCCTGGAGCAAAATTGTGAATTGCAGTGTGCCCTTCCATTCTAAGACATGGGAGATCTTCGGGCATGGTTGGGCAGCTTTGAGAGACAGGAAGGAATTGTGTTGAAACTCCTCCTTTTTGGTAAACCCGGGAGGGGGAGTTGTACCCACCCTATTACTGAATCCACCACGGCAACAAAAATCACCACGTTCTTCCATTTAAACAAGGTGCATGGAGGGCATACGCCTGTTTTCAAAACAAATTGCACCACTTGGAAGCTTCTGGGAGTCCTCTCCTCCTTAAAAACAAGGCATACCTTATGCTCTTGTGTTAACATAGAAAGAAAGATGGCGGGTTCACCGTTGTGGACGTGACTTCTGCAGTGGGAGCAGTGAAAATCTGGGAAGGATGTACTGATGTAGGTTGGTGGGTGTGTGGAGAGATGGGTTTTGAATGCTTGAGGAGATCTTGCTTTGGTAAGCGTTTGGAGTTGAGGGCATGTGGAAGAGGTTATGTGCCTCTCTGGGATTGTCAGACCCAGGCAGAGGCCACAACCAAAAGCAGGAATCCAGGAGTAGAAATTTGAAGCAAGAGACAAACAAACACGGCTTGAAACAGCTCTAGGTAATAATTTTTAGGTTTCTTCCAATTTTATGATTCTATGATCTAGGTTCAAATTTTCCCTCAGCCATGAACTTCACTGGGTGACGGGAGGGGGGCAGTCACTATCTCCCAGTGCAACGTGCCCTATGGATCTGTTGCGGGGATAAAAATGGGCAGCAGAATTGTGTATACTACCTTTAACTCCATGCTGGGAAGGCAAAATGGGGATCCACAATGTCTTTGTGTGTACAAGGCACAGAGGCCCAAACTGCCTGACATCGCCTTCTCCCCACTAATATCATCTATCAAAATAATTGGCTTTCTACTAGTAGATGAGAGTAACAGTTGCAGGTCTTTTGACAAGGGTAGGAAGCAACCAAAATGGACATTGAACTTGGAAAGGGAACTTTTTGTGCCACAGATCCGGGAGTCCTCTCCTCCTTAAAAACAAGGCACACCTTATGCTGGGTCTTGGCTCTTGTATTAACATAGAAAGAAAGATGACGGATTCGCCATGGTGGTCGTGACTTCTGCAGTGGGGGCAGTGAAAATCTGATCATAGAATTGCTCCAGTCAGCATGGAGAAAGCTCCCTTTTCCTAAGCTTTGGCTGCATACCAGTGCTTGTCGTATTACAGGTTGTTGTTGCATTTCCAAAGAGGAAGGTACTGTCCTCATGACCTTCAGTAGCAGCAAACAGTTGCCATTTTAGGTTCTTGCTGGCCAAGAAATCAATCAATCAATCAATCAAT